GCGCTCTCGCTGGGGACAGGACACAGGATGGGGGAGCGAGGTTCCGGGCCAACCCAGGGAGTTCCCAGGGAAGGGCGTGGATCGGATTCAACCTGAAGTGGTCTCAGACTCACCTCAGGCAGAGGCCCAGCGATGGGGGTCAAAGATCAGGCAGGCAGGGACCCAGGGTGGTCCTACATGGATAGGCGGGTCTCCAGCAGAGGTCCGGAGCTCTGGCGTATGTCTACTTTTTTCACAGAATACATTTTTATTTATGTTTTGGTTTTTGTTGGCTCAAACCCATATGCATGCTTTGCAAATATGTCCCCAGCTCCAGAATGTTTTTTAATTGCTCTCGGTGTCTGGATGCTCTCCTCAGTGCACTTTGATTGGGAAATGTATGGAGTAAGGGTGGGGAAGGGAAGTATGGAGAGTATGGGGTGAATATGCTCGGTGTGTAAATGTCCTACATAACAGAGAACCATGTACAATGAGTACACACAGAAGAAAGTTAAAAAGATAAAAACCTTGTGTATCCAAATTTAAAACCAAACTAAACCCAACTGACCCAAATCTACCAGTTTTGTCTGACAAGAACATTTATTTTTCTGTCACCCCTAGAGGGCAGTACACTAATACTGTACAGCTTAACACCGGCATACTTGACTTTACAACTGTTCTTGGCGGGTACCATGTCACTGTCAATGTATTGGTACTTGAGACTTTACTCATTGCTTGTTGGTGTAAGCTCACACGGGTAAAGAAGGTTGTTCTATTACTTGGTAAGGTGACAACTGTGCCGCCAACAAGACAGCTACCTATGCTGTTTTGGCTTGGTTTTCTTTTTCTTCCACCATGTTGGCCCTGGAGTAAAATTCAAGTTGCCAGGTTTGGTGTGAAGTGCCTTTATCTACTGAGCTATCTAGCTGCCCATTTTAACCTACCATCAGTTAGTTTTGTGCTGAAGTTTTGTTCAGGTGTAGTATTCTCAGAGATCTGCTAATTTTTACTTATCTTCAAATATGAGTTAGAACAAATATTGAGGAGGATTGTAACTCCTATAAAACTTTTGTTGAGGAGATTGTCCAGTCTCAATGAATGTTCACAGCATTTTAAAGAGTGTTGGCTGTGGTGCCTGAGTCCATGCCTTAGGTTTTGACCCTTTGCTGGCATGCCTGCCTTTATGCTCAGATTGGGATTTTGATTGAGTGTTTGGAAGTTATGTTTTAGAATGATTTTTGCTAAAATGGTACGCAGTATCTCCTCGTGGCGCCTCTCTGTCTCTCTCCCCAGCCTTCTCCTCATCTCCTAGCCCCTCCTCCCTTCTTGCTTTTACTGGACAACAGTGTTGTATTCATCAACCAGTAAGAGAAACATATGTACAGAAGGACATCCCCATCAGTTTGATTCTTTGTATTGTTTCTTTTATTTCTATTATATTGATTTCAGCCCTCAATTTGATTATTTCCAGCCATCTACTCATCCTGGTGAGTTTGCTTTTTGTTCTAAGCTTTGTTGTTCTGTTATTTTGCTAGTGTGGGATTTCTCCAGCTTCTTTATGTAGGCATTTAGTGCTATGAACTTTGCTGTAACCACTGTTTTCATTGTGTCCCATAAGTTTGGGTTATGTTGTGCATTCATTTTGATTGAATTTTAGGAAGTCTTCAATTTCTTTATTTATTCCTTGACCTAGTGGTGATTCATTTGAGCTTCTCAGTTTCAGGAGGTCCCATTTATTAATTATCAATCTCAGTGTCTGTGCTACTGTGCTACTGTTCAGGAAGCAGTCTCCTGTACCAATTTGTTCAAGCGTACCTCCTACTTTCTCTTCTAAGAGGTTCAATGTGGCTGGATTGATGTTGAGGTCTTTGATCCATTTGGACTTGAGTTTTGCGCATGGCGATAGACATGGGTCTATCTGCAGTTTTCTTTACAACATCATCCAGTTATGCCAGCACCATTTGTTGAAGATGCTTTCCTCCCCCCATTGTATACTCTTAGCTGTTTTATTAAAATTAAGGTGTTGGTAGATGTGTGGGTTAATATCAGGATTTTCAGTAGATTCCATTGGTCTATCTGTTTAATTTTGTGCCAATACCAAGCTGGGTATAGTATCCTGGGCTGGCATCTGTGTACTCTTTTAGTATTTGTTAAACATCTATCTATCCAGGACCTTCTGGCCTTCAGCGTTTCCATGGAGAAGTCAGGTGTAATTCTGATAGGTTTGCCTTTATATGTTACTTGGCCTTTTTCCTTTGCTGCTCTTAATATTCTTTCTTTATTGTGTATGTTTGGTGTTTTGATTAGTATGTGGTGAGGGAACTTTTTTGTGTTCCACTCTATTTGGTGTTCTGTAAGCTTCTTGACTTTCATTGACATGTCTTTCTTTAGGTTGGGAGAGTTTTCTTCTATGATTTTGTTGAATATGTTTCCTGCACCTTTGAGTTGGGTTTCTTCACCTTCTTGTGTATCTATTATTCTTAGGTTTGATCTCTTCATGGTTTCCCATATTTCCTGGATATTTTGTCTTAGGGATTTGGTCGACGTACCTATTTCTCCTAGTATATCTTCAACACCTGGTTATATCTTGTACTCTGTTGGTTATTATGCTTGCATCTGTAATATCTTATCATTTACCTAGCTTTTTTCTATGTCCAGCATTCCCTGTGACTGTGGGTTTTTTTTTTTGTTTGTTTGTTTTTCTTCCATTTCTTGAATTTCTTGTTTGTTTTTTCTTCCATTTCCTTAAGGGATTTTCTCATTTCCTCTTTTAGGGTCTCTATCATCTTTATGGAGTTGTTTTTAGGGTCATTCTCTTCTGCTTCATCTGTGTTGGGATGTTCAGGTCTTGCTGGGGTGGAGACCCTAGATTCTGGTGGAGACACATCAATCTTTCTGATGTTGACTGTGTTCTGTACTGTTGTCTACCCATCCCTTCTTCCAGTGTGTACTGGTGGGGGCTCTCCCTCTCCTGGTGGGTATGGGAATCACAGTTTTCTTCCAGTGTGTGCAAGTAGGTCCAATCCAATGGCTCTTCTCTTCCAGTGGATGGAGGCGGGACTAGGATGCTGGCAGATTCTAGACCAGCTTGTCTTCCGGGACACCTTCCCCCATGCACAGCTCCCAGGCCTCAGGAGTCTCTGAGCAGGGCACCAGAAGGCCCTCTGAATGTACTCTTGCAGGGGCATCTACCCATTTCTTCCTCTACTCGTGCCGGTGGTGTTTGTGCCTGGGTGGGAGGGGCCCTGATGCATAGGTGTTGTCTGTGTCTCAGGAGGCCATTGATGCCATGGTGGATGTTTTTGTTTGTGGGGCAGAGTGGGACTTGTAGATTACCGGGTCCTTTGTGGGGTGGTGGAGTGGCCTCCCCACGGGATTGCCACCTGCTGACCAGCTATGGCTGCAGTGGGTAAGGGAGGGGCCCTGAAAATGCCCCCAGGCCTAGGGTCTAGAGATGGGACTGTGCGGCTGGAAGGCCATCTCTCACCCCTTTGCTCAGTCAGTGCAGGCAGGTTTGTACCTCCTGGGACCACTGATGCTGAGGTGGGCGCGTGGGTTTGTGGTGGCAGAGTGGGACTTGTAGATTACAGGGTCCAATGGGTGGTGCTAGTGTAGTAGCCTGCAGGCAGAAGTCTTACCTGTTGATGAGCTAATGGGATTGTGATGGCTTGAGGAGGAGCTCCAAATATCATTACTCACATTGATAACTACCTCACAGCTTAGTTTAAATATTTAAAACTTTCATTTCTCATGTAAACTACATTCTGTTTTCTTTTCTATATTTAGTACAGAATGACTGAGTGTTTTCTCCTGTATTCATTATTAGTGTCTTCTATAATGTGTGCTATTTTGTTTAGAGAACACAAATGACAATATGGACTTTCCAGGGAAGAAGAGTCACATGTGTGCAAGTAAATTCAGTTTATGGTAAAATACATCATTTTTTTGCAGTAAAGAGTAGAGATGATCATTAGGAAAAAAAAAATCTGGATGAAGTTCTACCTCACAGGATTTAATACAGTGAATGAATGATTACTGGGAGATTATGAGGGGTGTGGGGAGCCCTTTCCAACACTGAATGAACAGGCACGGAAGTATGAAACAACAGGCTTTATTTGGGGGAATTATAAACAGTTTGATTAACTGTCATTGTAGAACAGGTGGCAACCAAGGCGGTAGAGAGTAAAAGAGCACTGATAAGCTCTGCTAAGGGCAAGGAGCGGGTGTGTGTCCAGCAGAGAGAGGTCTGTCTTTGGTATCAGCATGTAATTCTCACTTTTGAGAGCCTATCAGAAGCAAGAGCTTTAGCTGGAATAACCCACATGAGGGTTTGAAGTACAAGTACTTGGGAAAGTAAAACAGTGAGAGATGACCATTCTTTGTTGTGGTTGCTTCGCTCTTTGAGACAGGGTTTCTGTGTGACAGCCCTGGCTACCTTGGAACTCACGATGTCGACCAGGCTGGCCCCAAACTCACACAGATCGACTTTTCTCTGTCTCCCAAGTGTTGGACCACCACATTTGGGCCTATCATGATTAACCCTTTTGAAAGGTTATGTAACTTTTGTCTTTGACTCAATATTTTAGAAAACAAATTTCTAGTATCAGTCTAGTACAAGTGAATATTCCTAATGGGGGATAAAATATACTTATTAGAGAAAAGTTACCCAGCACACTTCAGTTTTCATAAAATTGTGTTGTTTACGTGTGTGTGTGTGTGTGTGTGCGCGCGCATGCGCGCATGTTCCTGTGGAAGCCAGAAGAAGGTGTCAGATCTCTAGGAGCTCCAGTTGCTTACTGATTGTTGTGAGTCACCAAGAGTGACTCCTGGGAGCTACACTCTGGTCCTCTTAAATGCCAAGCCATCTTTCTAGTTCTTACTATGAAGTTTTAAAATGTTGTCAGTTTTTTTTTTATTTGTTGAGATTCCATTGACCCATGAATAAAATGGTATTAATTACTGAATGTGCAAGCTAGTAACTGAACCTCCTAGTAATACAAAAAGGCAGAGGTCTTACAAAGTCTTAGACAAATAGGTTTATTATTTGTGGGGGGTGTTTTTAATCATAAGCTTCTTGGATACTTGTACAAAAATTTATTAGAATTAGGAATTTTAGAACACAAAGCTTCACTATCATACCTAATACATAATTTGAATAATAAAATAGCCTCTTTTATTTTTAAATAGAGAAAATTGATATTCATTAGCATGCTTATTGAAAACAATGAAGTATTTCATTCATTAAAAATGTGTCAGGAAAATACATAATAAAGTATAATTTGTAGCATAAATATAAGCTAGTAAATTCATTTCTATTACTTATATTATGATTTACTTTTATAAACATAAAAGTCTAATATTTTTAATCATTAGTAAATGCAGAAATACAGAATTTATTTGCAGGATTCTCAAAAATAATGATTCTCTTAAGTAGTGACTGTCACAGTTGATCAGTATTTTTTCTGCACTCTGGATCCAGCATCAGGGGAGAGCCTGGCCCTTGGCTGGGCATTCTGTAAGAGAGTTCAGAGAGTTCGCTTATTGTCAGACCCACAGATGTTAGCAGGTCATTCATCAATGCCAAAGGCGCTGTGCCTGCTCTCTGTAATAATTCACAGTCTGAATGTGTTGCCTTTGGTAATGTGCTTCAAAGGAGTTTCCGCTGAGCGTGTGCATGGTTGTGGTTGTGCGTGGGCAGGTGTACTTGTCTGTGTGCACTTGGAGCCCAGAGGTTGACTTCAGGCATCTTTTTCTCCTCCCACTCATTTTATTATTTCCTTTTCGAGATAGGCTCCCTTCACTGAACCCGAGGGTCACCATTTTGACTGCCTGGCTGCCTGGCTGGACAGCAGAGCCCTGAGATTCACCTGTGTCCACACTAAGGATGGGGTCACAGACTATATATCCTGTTTGTACGTGGGCTGGGATCTGAACTCATGTCCCTACGCTCACTGAGCCACTCTCGTCTCCAGACCCTTGAGAGCAGCTTTCTAAATCCAGGGGTGCTACACCCTGTAACCTCAGCAAGTGAGAGGCAAGAGGCCGGCAGATCAAGAGTTCAAGGCTAACTGCATGATGCCCTGTCTCAAAACGCACAGACTCTGCAGAGGGACTCACGTCATCTGCTGAGGTATAATAGTTCCTTCTTCCTTTTTTTTTTTTTTTTTTTAAACAAAAGCACTTGGAAGTCATGTAAGGCCTTAGGGATGTTTAACATATATTTTAGACCAAAAATAACATTGCTTCTTAAAAATTCACTAAATCTATCTTATTTTAAGCCAGGTGGTATCAGTGAATACCTTTAATCTCAGCTCTAGGGAGGCAAAGGCAGGCAGATCTCTGAGTTCTGGTGTACAGAATGAGTTCTTGGACAGCTGTCTTGAAAAATGAAAGAAAAAAAAATCCACTAAACCAGCATTTGGACCTAACGTAGTTAGATGGTTATCCATCATTAGTGGGTTAGTACCCATCATGGTAAAACTCTTTTTCATAACTCACTGAAGTTATGCTTGCATAAATGCTAAAGACTTAAGTATCTGTGTCACAGATGTGATATTCTAGGTCATTAGTTGACATTTCTCCATAGATTCTGATGCCCTTTGAGGAAAAAGGCACTTAAAGTTTGAATTGAACAATGTGTCATAATGCACAAATCAAAGATATTTAAAATTTGCAAATTTTGAATACATTACATTTTTATTGGGAAGAAAAGGTATCACTGGAAATACTACCATATTAGGTAATATTTAGGTAATATTAGGTAACAAAAAACGTAGGGAACTACCAAGCTAGTACGAAACAAGTACTTGCCAACAAGGATGCTCCAATCCTGTGTGCCTGAGGGTGAGCGGTGCAACACTGCGCCACAGAAAAAAGGACTAAGAGGTGTGGAAGCTTCAACAACCTTCCTCTGTCCTGTCAAGATTTTAGAACTCAGGGCGCTCAGCCTTCATCTTCTCTCAAAGCCTCGCAAGGCTCTCACATTAGAAAAGACTTATGTATTTTATTCTGTGTGAGTGCACACCATGTATCTCTCCAAACCTTGCAAGGCTCTCACATTAGAAAAGACCTATGTATTTTATTCTGTGTGAGTGCACACCATGTGTCCCTGGTTCCCATGAGGTCAGAAAAGGGCATCGGATCCCCAGGAACTAAAATTACTGATGATTGTGAACCACCACCCTGGTCCTTTGCAAAAACAAGTGCTCTTAACTGCTGAGCTCTCTCTCCAGGCTCCCTGTGACGTCTTTACCTCAGTAATGTCTACATGAAACAACCACAGGAGGGACTTAGCAAATACTTACCAGAAGTGGTATTAACTGCAAAGTATTTTTGATGGATGGGTTTTTGCAAATGGCTTCTTGTACATCTGAAAAATCATACCATAACACAAAAATAGTTATGTATATAAAGAGAATCACTAAAGAATTAATGACAAAATTGTGATGTGTCAAAATATTCAAAATTTAATGGTACTCTTTTCTTACTGACCCCAGAAATAGTCCTTGTATGTAAATACAAGCAATTTGATTAGGAACAGTTTTATAAAGCTGAAAAGAGGAGTTTATAAAACAATCTTCATTCAAATGTCAGATTTCCTTTTGTTTTGGTGGTTTTGGTAGCTCATACCTTTAATGACAATAGTCAGAATGCAGAGGCAGGCCGCTCTCTATGAGTTTGAGCTATCCTGGTCTACGTAGTGAGTTCCAGGCTAGCCAGTCTTACACAATCAGCTTCCCCCATTTCCTGTGCTGGGACTTGAACTCAGAACCCCTCTCACATTCTTTTTAAAATGAATTTCATGTGCACTTGTGTTTCGCCTGCATGTGTCTGTGTGAGGGTGTTGGATCCCCTGGAAATGGGGTTTCACACAGTTGTGAGCTGCCATGTGGGTGCTGGGACTTGAACCCAGGTCTTCTGGAAAAGCAGCCAGTGCTCTTAATCACTGAGCCATCTCTCCAGTCCCTAAGAGTTTCTTCTTTCTTGTTTTGAAATGGGCTTTTCACTCTCCATGTTGGTAGTGCTCATTAAATTGGAAAGCCATGACCCAGTCTCGGGTCTTACAGCTTTGTCATTTAGGATCTCCTTTGCTATTTCCCACCGTGTGTACCTTATTCTCGACAGGCTTTTCTGATTTATAGTCTAGTTATTAATTCTCCCTTCACATGTCTATAATCTGTTGTTTATAAATAATCAGCTGAATTTTAAATGTATTTTTTTCTCTTCCGCTCACAGGCTTTGTAATTTTCCAAACAAGCTACATCATTTTATATTGCATATTTCCTTACTGGATTTTGAAACATATTTCTGATTTTATTATATTTTTTGTGTCTGGTAAAACGTTCTTGGGGTCTATTTAGAATGTACTGTGATTTCTTTTAAAGGTATATATTTATTTTATGTATGCAAGTGTTCTATCTACATGTACTCCTGCACTCCAGAAGAGGGCATCAGATCTCACTACAGATAGTTGTGAGCCACCACGTGGTTGCTGGGAATTGAATCTAGGACCTGTGGAAGAGCAGCCAATGCTCTTAACTTCTGAGACATCTCTCCATCCATCTTTTGATTTTTAATGGATTTTTTTCTTTATGGATTAGCTTTTTTTGGTCACTATTGAGTATTCATTTTCCTTAGATCTCATTTGTGATAATTCTTTGAAGACTGGAATATAGGCCATATCTCAAATAACATCAAAAGGAATATTAGTATGCATTTTATAAATTATTCTGGAGGTGTCAGCGGTTTGGGATCATTTTCAATTATGTCCTTTGCTTCAGGCTTTATAGACACACAGGTACTATGGGCATGGGCTGTAATTACTGAGGTACACTCTAGGCTCCATCCCTAGGGATGCTTTCCTCCCTTCCCTTGGCTGCTCAATACTGAAGTTCAAGAACGGTGAAGCTTTGTTTTTTTAAAAACCTCCCCACTTTTTGTGGTTGAAAGGCATAGATCTTTTGATGGCTCAAGTTAATGGTGGACCATCTTGTCTGAAACTACAGGGAAACTATTGTTCCCTCTTGATTATTCCACTAACCAAATATCTTCAGCTTGAAAGTTCGCTGTGGCTCTACCATTATTTTCCTAGTGAAAATATCTTGTCCCTTAGGGACAGGGTCTCATCAAAGTGGCCTGGGGCTTGGTAGGCCACCCAGGCTGGTCTCCAGCTGTGCTGCTGCCCCTGCCTTAGGCACTCATGTGCAGGTATCACAGGCATTGCTCCATGCCCACATGGAGCTGAGGATTAAAAAGCACTTGATAAGGTTATTTCCATGATGGTAGGTATAGATACTTAGTCTGTTATTGTTAAAACACAAGTAGTATGCTCATATTTTTCTTTTCTTTCTTTCAAGACAGGGTTTCTCTGTGTAGCCCTGCCTGTCCTGGAACTCACTCTGTAGACCAGGCTGGACTCAACCTCAGAGATCTGCCTGCTTCTGCCTCCCAAGTGTTGGAATTAAAGGTTTGTACCACCATGCTCAGCTTATGTTCAGATACTTCTAAAACAGAATAAAGTACAGAAGTTGGTATCATTATAAAAGATATGTTATATAATCTAAAATATTAACAATATTCTCAATTTTAGATGATTTATTAAGGTGATAACTAGATATATCTTGTATTTTTACTTCAAAGTCTTAAATTAAAGATTTGACATAAGCTTATGCATAGCATGTTCCTGTCTTACAGAAGTTGTGCCCCTGAACTTACAGTATAGCCTTTCATTGAGGCGATGGAGGGACCGAAGGACCTTCTGCTCTTCAGCTGACACTGCACACATGTTGGATGGCTGGGCCTTACTCAAGGACAGGTTTGGTTTCTGTAGCTGCTTGCTGTGTATAGCAGTTAGAATTTCATCCTCAGGTACTGAAGAAATCACGGGGTTTTCTGCCACCAAACACTCAGAAGTATTACCTGAAACTACAGAACTGACATGACTCTTTGATCACTTAGTTTGGTTTTTCGAGACAGTTTCTCTGTATAACAACCCTAGCTGTCTGGAACTAGCTCTGTAGACCAGGCTGGCCTCAAACTCACAGAGATCAACCTGTCTCTGCCTCCCAAGTGCTGGGATTAAAGGTGCAACCACTACCATCTGGCTTTTTTTTTTTTTAATTGTTTTTTTGAGACAGGGTTTCTCTGTGTAGCCCTGGCTATCCCGGGACTTGCTCTGTAGACCAGGCTGGCCTCAAACTCAGAGCTTTGCCTGCTTCTGATTCTCAAGTTCTTTTTATTACACACACACACACACACACACACACACACACACACACACACACACACGGTGTATCAACTTAGTGTTGCATATATATGAAATTTATATCTGTCTATCTATCTATCTATCTATCTACCTACCTACCTACCTACCTACCTATATCTATCTATCTTTCTATATATCTCCATCCATCCATCCATCCATCCATCCATCCATCCATCCATCCATCCATCCATCCAATTAGGGGAAGACTAATTTTTCCCCTCTCAGCATTTCTTAGTTGCCTGTTCTTTGTTTAGGGGTGGGACCTATGATATTCCCACCCTTCCATGTTAGTATGTCTGTTGGTGGTGTCCTTGTTCAAGTCTTAGGCAGACATATTGCTGGCATAATATTTATTTACTTATTTGTATGAGTGTGTTGCCTCTTAAGTATATCTGTATCCCACGTGCTTGCAGTACCCAAGGAGGCCAGGAGAGGGTGGTGGATCCCCTGGGACTGCAGTTACAGCTGACGGCGAGCCTCCATATGAATGCTGGTAATTGATCCTAGGTCCTCTGAAAGAAAAGCCAGTATTCCAGCTCTCCAGCTCAGTGTACATTTTAATTTTCAGGATCCTCTATATTTGGCATTTTCTCACCTCCAGTTAAGAAAGTATTGGCACACACCTTTAATCCCAGTACTTGGGAGGCAGAGGCAGGCAGATCTCTGTGAGTCTGAGGCTATCTTGGTCTACTTTGTGAGTTCCTGGATGCCGGAGCTACACATTGAGACCCTGTCTATGTCTACTCCAAATTTAGTTCTGAGAACCTATCCTACATAAACATTTGACAAGTCAGGAGATAGTTTGCTATAGAAAGATGTTTAATAAGTACATTAGCATTCCAAACAACAGCTAACTGTGAATGAACTGAATATTCCCTCATAAAGAGAGTTCAGGTCTATGTAAGTGCACAATACACAAGTACTTGAGAAAATACAGCACTTGTGAGTTTGAGGCTAGCCTGGTCTACACTGCTAGTTCTAGGATAGCTAAGGGTTCACAAAGAAACCATGTCTCAAAAAACAAAACAAACGAACAACCTCCCCAACACCCAGAATAACAACAACAACAACAGAAAAAGGATAAACCACTGGGAACAAAACACCAATAAGAGGCTTCCAGCAGCACTCCTGTAGGTTAACTACAGATCTCTCCCTCTGCTCCTCCAAGCCCAATCCCCCATTTCTGTGGCAGAGCACCAGCGGCAGCCTCCCCGATCCCTCCAACCTTCCTTCCTACTCGTCTTGTTATTCCATCCCCAGCTCCAGCCAGCATTCTCTGGGAACCTTCCAGCCAAGCCTGATAGGGAAGCAAGTGGGCCAGCTTAGCGGGTAGAGGAGCTTCAGACCTCCACTCACCCTCCTGTCCTCCATAGCCAATGCCCCATAACATTCTCAACTCTATAGCAGACTACCTGCTAATGCCTCTCCTTATGCCCCATCCCCTGGAGACTAAGCAGATCCTGGAGGAACACCTAGCTCTCCTACCTCCAGCACAGCTTGAGAACTTGAATCTCCTAGCCCATCCCCATTCCCAAGTGTCAGCTCTCAATACCCAGACACACATTTTACACAGAACTCCCAGTGGACATACCTAGCAGGCAACAAACAGCTACCACCATCCCCTAAGGACCAGACAGAGCAAGAGAAGCCAAGGAATAAAGCATACACCCAACAAAGACACAACCAAGTATCAGCACCTAGAATTATAATCTCTTTGAACCCAGAAGCCTAGACACCAGAGAAAAAACACAGTCTATAAAAGTAAGGACAGTATATCTTTGCTAGTGGTCAGAAACCTTACCACAATAGAACCTGAGTATTGCAACACAATTGGAATACAAGACAAAGACTTAAAATAGCCTTTATGAATCTGAGAGTTCCTTAAAGAGGAAATGAATAAATCCCTCAAAGAAATCTATAAAACACAAACAGTGGAAGGAAATGAAGAAAACCATTCATGACCTGAAAGTGGAAATAGAAACAATAAAGAAACAATAAACAAAGAGAAATCTGGACATGAAAAATTTAGGAATTCAAACAGGAAATCTCAGGAGGCAAGGCTGACCAACAGAATAGATAGAATAGAGATCTCAGGCCTAGAAGACAATAGAAGAAATGGATAGCTCAGCCAAAGAAAATGTTAAGTCTAAAGCATTCCTGACACAAAACATCCAGGAAGTCTGGGACACTATGGAAAGACCAAATCTAAGAATAATAGAATTAGAGGAAGGAGAAGAAACTCAGGTCAGTGCAGAAAACATTTTTTTTTAATGAAACAATAGAAGAAAATTTCCTTAATCCAAAGAAGATGCCTTCTTTATCAAGGTACAAGAAGCAACCAGAGCACTGAATAGAATGAACCCGAAAAGAAAGCCTCCTCAGCACACAATAATCAAATCACTAAATTTACAGAACGAAAGAATATTAAAAACTGCATGAGAGAAAGACCAACATATAAAGACAGACCTATTAGAACAACACCTGATTTCTCAATGAGGACTAAAAGTCAGAAGGGCCTGGACGGATGCGCTGCACACTCTGAGAGACCACAGATGCCAGCCCAGACTACTGCACCTAACAAAACTTTCAATCACTATTGATGGAGAAACAAAAGCAATTTTAATCAATATCTATAAATAAATCCAACCTCAAAGAAGGTGCTGGAAGGTAAACTCCAACCTAACAAGGTTAACTACATCCAAGAAAACAGAATAAATAATTCCAGATCAGAACACACATAATCAATCTCTCTCTCTCTCTCTCTCTCTCTCTCTCTCTCTCTCTCTCTCTCTCTCTCTTAAAAACATGCATACCACCACCACAACCAACAACAAAATAGCACGAGTCAATAATCATTGGCCATTGATATCTTTCAATAACAATGGCCTCCATTCCCCAATAAAAAGACAGAGGGTAATAGAGTGGGAGTGAAGACAAGATAAAAGAAATACATGTTAACATTTGGCTTCTTCCTCCGTTTAAAATGATGCTTATATGTGTATATTAGGTGTTAAGTAAATGATAACTAAGATATAACCACAGAAGTCAGGCATAAGTAAGGGACTGGCTTGGGGTAGGGGCAGATAGAGCTCTCTAAGAAAGGAAAATATAATAGCTATGGATGACTGGAAGACTGGGATGAGAGAATCAAGTTGAGAGAGGGAAGGAATACTTAGAGACAGCTAAAATTTAGGGCCATTTGAGGGATAGTATAGAAATCTAGTACAGAAGAAGCTTCCTAAAATATACACATACATGAAGACCCAGGCTGTTGGCAAGACCATTGGTTGCTCTCTACAAACTGATGCAAGGCCTCATTACTGAAGACAAAACCTATATGACTGGCTGAATGTGGAGAATTAAAACTGGGACCTAGCTTCTCCCTTACGTACAGGAAGGTACTATGAAGATCACCAGAGGAGAAATGTAAACACCAACTCAGTTACAAACCCTTTGATCTAAAATAATGTCCTACATGCAAGATATAGTAGTGCAATGGTGGTGGCACAAAGCTTGTTGCAGTAAGCAAGCAATATCTGACTTGACTTAAGTCTCACTACCCAATGGCTGGGTGACTAAGAACCAGAAACTAGATTGCCCCAGGGACCTACAGTAAAACCTAATACTATTGTTCTAACACAAAAAGCAAAACCAAACTGTAGCAATGGAATGACTCCTAATGACATTTTGCTGTGGTCATAGCTACGGCCTTTCTCGGCTACCATCAGATGGGACAAACAGACACACCCACAGGCAGACATCATGCAGGGTGAGACCTCGGAACACCCAGCTCTAACTGGATGTCCCCATCCAATCCCTGTACTCAAGGGAGAAGAGTAAGCAGTAAGAGTGAGCCAGGGGCGAAGGAGGACACCAAGAAAACAAGGCCATCGACATCGAGACTGACGCACAGACGGGCTCACAGAGTCTGAGGCAGCATGCACAGGACCTGCATGGCTCTGCACCAGATGGGGTCCTAGAGCAGAAAGAAAAGCACACATGCCCCATCCCTAACCTAGGAGCTATCTCCAATTGATAACCAATTGCAAATAAAAATTTAGTTCCTTTCAAGGGAATCTGTCTCTGGGTAAGCGAATTACTCCCTGCTCCTCTCAAGACAGGGTTTCTCTGTGTAGTTCTGACTGTCCTGGGACTCAACTCTATATACCAGGATGGCTTTGAACTCAGAGACCTGCTTCCCTCTGCCTCCCGAGTGCTGGGATTAAAGCCATGTACCACCACTGTCCAGTGGAAACAAAGTACTCTTAAGGGTAGGCCAGGTGCAGATTGTTAACAGAAAACAAACTCAGTGGCATCCTTGTCTTATAATGTTGTGGCAGGAATTTTTATTTTTTTTTAGTGTGTGTGTGTGTGTGTTAACCTACAGGTCTTTTTCTCTTGGGCTTTGTTTGTCTAATGTATTAGTTTGTGTTTTACCTTATTATATTGTATTATTATTATTGTCCCTTAGAATTGTTCAGTTTCTTTTCTTTTTTTTTTTTTTTTTTTTTTTTTTTTTTTTTTTTTTTTTTTTTTTTTTTTGAGATAGGGTCTCTGTGTAGCTCTGGCTGTCCTAGAACTTGCTCTGTAGACCAGGCTGGCTATCACTCATGGAGATCCACTGCCTCTGCCTCCCAAATGCTGGGATTAAAGGCATGTGCCACCACTGTCCGGCTACAAGAGTTCATTTTCTAATGTGAGACAGAAAGGGGATGGATTCAGGTGGGAGAGGAGGTAGAGAGGAGCTGGGAGGAGGAGGGGGAGAGGAGCTGTAATCAGGGTATACTGTGTGATATAAAAATCTATTTACAGTAAAAGGAAAAAGAGAAAGCGCTTACAGTCAAACATACCTTCTTCAGTCTTGAGGCCTCTTTTAGCGTGTATTGGCTCACTTGCACTTAGTGGGACACTTTGTCCAAACTGTTATAAAAATAGGTGAAATACAAATATAATTCCACATTTAAAATTCATGATATGGTCATGGCCTTTAAAGAACCTTTAATTGTTGCCTGCGTTTTTAGTTGTCACTGTTTGTATAACTTGCCTTTCTCTTTTGTTTTGGAGCAGAAATCAAGAATACTAGATTAAAGCCTTTCATGGTGAATAAATATTTAAAAATGTCTTAAGTCTAATACAAAAGTCCAGGTTGTGCTGTTCTCTTGGATAGCAAGAAGAACAAAGTATGCTGGGTGGCAATCAACTGCTTGGAATACAATACTATTAAAGCCCACCACACTTTACACTTAGATGGCTTTGCAAATGCCAGGTACCACTAGCCCCGTTCTGGGTGTGGCTGGCATGGATGACGGGAGTTCTCTCCAAGCCTGCAAGCAGAAGCAGCTGCCTCTTTGCTGCAGAGGCTCTGACCGACATCACCCCCTGTCTACCTGGCAGGGGCTTACACTTAGCTCTGTCAGGCTGATCTGGGGAGTAGCTGAAAAAGGCAGCTGCGCCAGCCGTCCGCCAGCGCCAGCCCTACCTGAGCCCCTCTCACACTTTTGGAGACATCTCAGACTGAAAACCGGCTGTAAAATGGCAAGTGTGACTTTATAGCTCTCATGATCTGCTTCACATTCTTTGCACACAGAGTTGGGCAAAAGGTGGCACAATAAAGCACATTCCCTAAGACATGGTGACAAGGACCACCGCTGTAGCAACTGAAGTTTCATCAGGCTCTAGAGAAAAAAAAAAAAAAAAAAAAAAAAACCAAACAAAATAGTAATGCTCTGCGATTTTCAAATTTGATTTTGGTCCAGAACACTCACGTAGTCTAAGAGTGGCAGGCCCTTGTGAGATGCCTTAGGAGATGAGCCAATAACAGACATGGGAAAGAAGAAGCAGAGCATTATACTGGAGGAAAAGAAAACTTGAAAGACAGAATGCAAAAAAGCAAGAAAGAATCCAACAGCACCCGGGACAGTAAAAACGACAATGGAGAGGAGACTAAGCACAGGCATAAGAAACTTGTTCAGTGCTTTGTGGTTGTAACAACTACATGTTACTTCAAAACTGAGACATCTTTTTTTAAAATTTTTGAGTCAGGATTCCATTATGTACCTCTGACTAGCCTGAAACTCATACAGATCTACTGACCCCTGCCTCCCAAGTGCTGGGATTATAGGTGGGTGATACAACCAGCAAATATGATATAGCTTAATACAAGTTTAGTAAAAGATAATGTTTTCTCCTTATAGATTTTGATATGAATGGTGGGAATAATATGGAAGCTCAAAGAGGAACTTGCTAGTTATTACTACATTTGTAATCTGGAAGGTACATTCATGTTTATTACTAAGCTATAATAATATACTGATAATAACACAACTTCACAAACATAAAGTAAATGACTCACTTTGCTAGGAAGATTAGATCATAGTTGTCATCTATAATAACAGTCTTATAAAAATTAATACCTCTTGAGCTGTGGGTATAGTTCAGGGTTTTTCTTGCATGTAAGATTTGCTCCCCAGTGCTGGGAAGAAGTGTGTAAAATAACCCCTATACAAATGCTAAGACTCTCAACTTCTTTTCAGGGCACTCTAATCCAGTTCTGCAAAAAATTAGAAGTGATACGGTAGAAGCTCCAAGTGAAATGCCCTTTACTTATTCATCTCATGGTTCTAAATATCCTAAAATCAATCCCTAACCAGACCTCTATCATATTAGACTATAGTTATTCAGCTCTTGTGTAATTTTCACATCTTTTAAAACTGGTATTACCTTTGGTTTTACTCAAGATCTCTGTCCCAAAAGCCATATTAGGGACTGTTGGACTGTTCTTAAAGACAAAACCATTATGCAATTCAAAGTTTCATATAAAAGGTCCCTAGACGATGAAAATTAGGGTAGCCTAATCTGATTAAAGGGGAAGGCCCACTTAGATGCCTTCTCCATTAGGGCTAGGGGTCTTAGCTGGTGTCATCCTTAAGGGTTCCTAAGAATTTCTCTAGCACCTGTTGTTCTCCAATCATGTAATGGCTCCCTCTATCAATAGATGTCTCTTTCATTGCTCTCTCCCCCTCAGCCCCTCCCCAACTTTCCTCCCGAACTCCTTTTCTTGACTACCCGTGCTCCTATCCCTCACCCTCTCCCTTCTACCCGCCCTCCCACTTTACCCAGATTTTAACTATTTTCCCTTCCTGGGATCCACCATGTAACTAATGACAGCAGATGCAATGGCCCACTGCCAGGCACTGGGCTGAGCTCCTGGAGGACGATCATATAAAAAGGGGTGAGGGGGTCAAGGCCATATGGGGAACACAGAGATGGGTGTCCGGAGCTGGTAGGAGCTCACGGGCTATGGACTGATGGCTGGGGAACCTGCATGGGACTGAACTACACCCTCCGGATGTGGGTGCCGGTTACGTGACTTGATCTGTTTGGGGGGGGGATGGCAGTGGTACCAGCACCCAATCCCAGGACCCAATCCAGGGGCTTGAACTGGCTTTTGGAGCCCACTCCCTATGGTGGGATACCTTCCTCAGCCTTGATACAGGAGCGCACTGATGTATTACTTGTAATCTAGCAAATAAAGTTTGCCTGGAGATCAGAATGAAGAGCTACACCACTAGTTAGCTACACACACACACACCAAGCCACTAATAGCCATAGAGGACAGGTAGTGGTGGCCACACCTTTAATTCCAGGACTCAGGAGACACAGGCAGATGGATCTCTGTGAGTTCAAGGCCACCCAGGGCTATATGAGACTGAATCAGTCTGAAAGGGAAACTGAGCTCACGGCTCTAATCTCGGCATTTGGGATGACCGGCACTAGAGGGGAATGTAAGGCAGGAGCTCAGCGCAGTCTCAGGGCGGTCTGATTTTGGTGGAGACCATTGCAGTCTGCTGTCATGCTGAGGACAGGATCCTGCCCCTCACCTTGGGTTTTAGCCTTGGGAGACGTGAGAACTTTTTAGTGGCCGGCTACTTCGCTCTTCTGCTCTTCAGCTGGAGTCCCATTATCTGTCTCTGGGTTTTTATTATTTGTGCTACACAGAGGAAGGGGCTTTGTCCTACCTCAACTTGGTATGCCAGGTTTTTTTGACTCCCCAAGGGAGTCCTAACCCCCTATGAGGGATGTTGGGGGGTGGGTGGGAAGGGGAGAAGGCTGGGGGCGGGGAGGAGGGGAGGGAGAGGGAACTGGGGTTGGTATGTAAAATGAAAGATAATTTTTTTTTAAAATAAAAAAGGTCCTTAGATGGAAAATGTCTTTTAAAAAATACCGTGTAACATACAATAGTACCAGGACTTACCCTTCTTTCCTCACCCTCTTTCATCCTGTCCATTTATTACATTTTAAATAACTTCAGGGAATTTTGTTCCAAATGGCTTTTCTACAGAATTATCTATAAGTAGTAAGTTAAACAATACCTTTTCTTATTTAGAAAAACCCCTAAATTATGTATATGGATGTTTTGCCTAACTCTATGTGTGTGTGCCACTTGTGTGCCCTTATGGGCCAGAAGACTTTGCATCTCCCGAGACTGGAGTTAGAGATGGTTGTGAAACACCATGTAGGCACTGGGAATTGAACCCGGGTCCTTTGGAAGAGCAGTCGGTGCTTTTAATATTTCTCTAGCCCCAGGAATAATTGCTTAAAGGTAGTTAAATACCTTCATTGGTAACTGATTGCATGAACTCATCCGAATACAGCAAATAATTACAGTAAGCTGCCAGCATAAGATTCCAAGATTGAATCACGAATGGTTTTGGCAACATTCACATTGATGTTGAGGAACAGTTTACACCAAAAGCATCTGTCTTTCAAGTATGCTAAGACTATACTTACAATCATTTGCTCGGTGTACTTCGTTCCTGTAGATCCAGAGGTTTTTCTTTTCTGCTCTAACAGGCTTCTCCACTTACTTTCAACAACTTGCTTTCTTCTTGTAACAGAATCTTAACAAATGTCAATATAAAATATTATGAAAGTTGAGTAGGTAATATGTATCCACTCAAAATTTCAAGTTACTGTCAAGCAGTGCAGAAAGTTCTATGTATTCCCTCCACTTGGCCAGCAGTCTTCCATTAGTTTTCCTCTAAGTTCTATGCGTGGCACACAAGCAAGGATGAATGAAACACAGTTCCTGCTATGGGCAGAATATGGGCAATGTCAAGAAGATACACAAACATGGAGATTCCTACAAGATCTCCAGGCTGTTAATGATTGTATGCAAATTATGGGAGCCACACGACCTGGCTTACCTTCCCCTGTAAGTATTCCTCAAGGCTATCATTTATTAGTTATAGACCTAAGAGATTGCTTTTTTAGCATTGGCTTGCATCCTCAGGATAGTGAGCGATTTACATTTAGCATTCCTTTTATCTATTAACTTTAAAGAACCCTATAAGAGATATCAATGGGTGGTGTTGCCTCAGGGAATGGCCAATAGTCCCACTGTTTGTCAAATTTATGTATCTTTGGCCATTGCCCCCATTAGGGAAAAATCTTCAATCCCTGTATATTATATATTATACAGATGATATTCTTTTAGCCGGCCTAGATCCTAAGGAAGTGAATGAGGCTTCTGGGGAATTGCAACATCATCTTCAACTAGCTGGCTTAAGAGTAGCCCCAGAAAAGGTGCAACAAGAATTTCTCTATCAATACCTGGTTCATCAATTGTTATATTCTGGTATCTGTGCTCAATAGATTACTTTAAGGCTGGATAGACTGACCACCCTTAATGATTTTCAAAAATTATTGGGAGATATAAATTGGGTTTGATCTAGTATGCCCTTGCTTATACTAGTCAGGGTTTCAACTCCTTTTGCAATTTTTTTTTTAATCTCATATAAGTTGGGCATAATTCTCAAGGTCAGGCCACGGTGGAGCTTGCACATCCCACAATTAAAGCCTATCTTTATAAAACAAAAAAGGGGGGACTTACAGAGCCTCATAATCACCTCTCTCATCCTTTATATTTAAAATTTTTTCAACTATTGATGCACCTGCTCGATCTGCGGCCAACAGGCATTGGCGCCCTCGGCCCTCTGACTATGGCTCAGTCATGTGGAAGGATGTCACTATTGGACAATGGTGCGGCCTCAACCCAGTTCTAGTATGGGCCCGAGGGTCAGTTTGTGTCTTTCCACAAGAGGCAGATAACCCTGTTTGGGTGCCTGAGCATCTGGCTCACTCTATGGGGAGGGACCATGATTGTCGCAGCCAGTGAGATGATCCAATGGGCCTTCATCAAGGATCTACCCATTCTGATGCCTGTGGGTCTGAGTGGCCCTGTATGGCCCCTTTTTTCCTGACCACTAATTACAATTTGGGTCGAGCGGCTATAAATTTACACTTTGATCCAAAGGATAAGAATTTCACTTTCATCTCAGGCATTTGTTCATGCTCCCTTCTTTTTTGTTGTAACCAATGCTACTAATTTTGGAGGACATTTGTTTCAATCATTCTCAGCAGCTCTGCCGACTGGTTAGCTGCTGGACATATCAAGTAACAGCTGTCGTGGGCCCCATACCCCAGGTGGTCCCTATGCCAGAGACCTCTACAGATGACCAACTTGTGCAGCAGAGAGGAAAGGAGATTTCAGGATCACAGTTGCCAGTGCCGCCTCCGACACTGAAGCAACAGTTTCTAGGATAGCCCTCTCCCAGTCTGTAAATACTGCACGCACAGTGGATCAACTATCAGGTGATTTGGATGAAGCCTTAGCCACCCAAAACACACTCAATTATTTAGTACAAATTGGCATTTTTAAACTAAATCTACAAACTGGCCTCCTATATGAACACTTGGATTTTTTGTTCTCTCTTTCACACGTGTCTGTTAATGCATCAGTTTTTAAATTATACACATGCTTTAACCATGCAGATCATTAACATCAATAAAACCTGAGTACCACCTGCCAGTACAGAAGACCCTTTACAAGGACTTCAGCTTGCGGGCAGATTATTTAGAGATTGGGCAAGCTCTCTCTCACTGGGGTTCGTAACCCTTGCACGTGGTGCTACTTCGCCACAGCATTCGACAGGCCCAGGCCAACTTTCTAACAAGACAGATTCTACTGTCTTTGGCTCAAGAGAACTCCTCTGCCCATGTGTGGCTGACAGACAAACTATTCACCAAAGATGGGTAAGGCAGAAGGGGGCAAATATCCAACCTAAGACTGGAGGGTTCCGGGCCTGGGTGACCTCTCCAATGACGGGTAAGGAAATATGCTGACTTCCTCTGCCACCTAAGACAGGTGATAGTTTATATTAAAAGAAAGGGGGACCTGTAGGGCTCTGTATGGACCCCTGAGGCGCCTTGAACAAGCCTGAAGCTGTTGGCTGGAACTCCTTGCCCCAAAGCTGTTATTGGTACTCTTCCTGTTTCGATAACACACACCTCGTGGGGAGGAGCTAAGCCTAAAAATCCTGTAATTTTCCATTGTGCTGTAAATCAGTATTTAAGCCCGTTCCATCCCCTCAATAAACGGCACTTGGCATATGGCATTTCGACATTGCCATTGAATGAATGACCCGCTGTCCTGTCTATTTCAATCTCTAGGCCTTTGCCTGATTCGTGAACAGACCATAGGGTGGGCGCTACAATCCTTATTGAATGTGCTATCTTCTAGCACACTGGTGATTTTTTTGATGTGTTACCTGTAGTCTGCAGTTGTTCAATTAAAAAATTACTATCAAACACAGGGGAGGGCCTAGGTCCTGCCTCAAATGATATGACAGACTTTGATGATCCCCCCATGGGAGTCCTCACCCTCCATGGGGAGTGGATGGGAGGTGGGAAGAGTTGGTTTGGTGTGTGGGAGGCTGGGAGAGGGAACTGGGATTGGCATGTAAAATAAGATTGTTTTTAATTTAAATAAACTTATTTAAAAATCACTATCAAATATTGCTATTTTTTTTGATGGAGACAATCAAGGTGAGATTTGATCCAATCACCGTGGATACGGGTATTAGCCCTTTATTACAGCTTTTTAGTCTGTTCTTTACAACCTGTCCTATGAATGTTAGATTTGCCTAGCCAAGCCCCATATTAATTTAAATCAGTGCTTTGCAACAGACCTCTTTACACATCTTTACTAGGGACTGCTTCTCTAGCTTGGTGTAATTGATCCATATTTTTATATTTATTGTAGTCTTTTATACATTCTGCCTACGAGTCTTGATAAGTAAAAAACATTACAAATACCTTTCCCTAGTAAGTGGTGTATCATATTTTAACTTAATTTTTTTGTATGAAAAAACTCCAATTTTATTGTATAAGTATTATTCTTCTTAATAGGTTATATTTTACATACAGCATAAGAAATATGACTATTCAGCTGGGTGGTGGTGGCACACACCTTTAATCCCAGCACTCGGGAGGCAGAGGCGGGTGAATCTCCCTGAGTTCAAGACCAGCCTAGTCTACAAGAGTAGCCTCCAAAGCCACAGAGAAACCCTGTCTCGAAACAACAACAACAACAAAAGAAATCTGACTACTTTTTATTTTTCATATTTACATCTATAATTTACATGGAATTGATTTGTATGTATGAGTGAAGAATGGTTTACTTTTACTGATTATATTCAGTTATCCCACCGAATTATAAAATGAACCCCCTTTCCCTGCTACGCATTGCCACCTTTGTTAAAAATCGAGCAATTAATTAAGTGGGACTGGGTTCTATTATCATTCAGCAGAGGCCACACTGTGCTGTTGTAGATTTAGATAGATTATCTAGAAATGAAAATTCCAAGACAGGGTTTCTCTGTACACCTGGCTGTCCTGGAACTTGCTCAGTAGACATCTGCCTGCCTCTGCTTCTTGAGTGCTGGGATTGAAGGTGTGTGCCACCACCACCTGGCTTTAGAAATGAGACTGTCTCAGCTGTTCTTGGCCCATGCCTGACAATTTTCACAGAGCCTGTTGGAACGTCATGGCCTCAACAGGCACACACCTTCTTCTCCATCCAGGCCTTCGCTCATCATCCTCACGGGGCTTTTAGACTCCCCTACAGGTCCTTAAAATCTTTACATTCAATTTTTCTCATAGGCTTCTATTTTAATGTTATTTAAAAGATACCATTAGTAAAATTTCTAGGTCTGTCCCTCGGCAATCCTAAAACATTTCTATTATTATTCAGCTTTGTTTCAGCTGCCTAGTCGCACTCAGCTCTGTATTCAGTTTCGGGTCCTGCCCCATCTGGGGAGGACAGCATGCTGTGTTTATCAGCAGCAGGCAACACCATGTTCTCAGTGTCTTTCCCACCACGTTTGCTTTGCCCCAGAGGGTTACTTTGACCTTTATTTGAACCCTCTACATTTTTGTTCATTTTCAGATGAAGGTAAGCATAATTATTTCACTGTAAGGAATTTGTCTGCGCTTTAGAGTATGATCTCATATAACAAATGTTTCAAGGTATGTTTCTGTTAGCTTTAAAACTTCCTCAATCACTTTACTTATTTTTATCAACATTTTTCTTCTCTTAGTTCCTCTTCATTCTTTAAACACCCCAGCTTCTAACTCCAATTAAAACTTAGGTTTTTGTAGTAAAGAGATTTAGGTTACACATTTTGCATTTAATTTTCCATCTGCTAATGTAGTCTGTACCCATCCAATTCATGAAACGTCTCAGGGCTGGAGAGACAGCTCACTTGTTAAGAGCCCTTGCTACCATTACAGAGCACCTGAATTGTTCTCAGGTTTCATGGGGATCTGGCACCCTCTTTAGGCCTCCATAGACACCCCTACACATGTGGCGTAGACGACATACAAAGACCAAGTGACAAATAAAAATAATTAAAACATTAAGTCAGGTGTGGCTTTACACACCTTTAAATCCTGGCACCCAGGAGGCAGAAGTGGGCAACTCTGTGTGAGTTCAAGGGTAGCATGGCCAACTGACTGAGCTCTAGGCCAGTCAGTGCCACAGAGTGAGAGCCTTGTCTCAAAAACCAAATAAGTCTCAACAAAACAAAACGAAACAAAAACAACAACACAGCAAAACAACAGCCACAAAACAAAACCCCCTAGAATGGAAAATCAGGGTGCGGACAAAGTGTCAGGCCCTGTTGGGATCTGGAGTGTGAGGTAGCACACACAGAAAACCCCTGCTCTTTGAAAGCTTACGGCCTAATTAAAGAGGACACCAAGTATGAATCTGTAAAGTCCAAGCGTATCATTACTTGTTATCACTGTACTGCCCCCTCCCTCTATGGACGATCCTTGCTTTTTCTCAGTAGGGCACTAATTCCCACTGGCGTTCCCTTAGAGGAAGGAAGTGATGACTTCACAAGCTGTGACAGGACAATGGCATTCAACAAGGAAGTAAACCTTAGAACTGTTCAAAACAATGGTGTCTGTTCTTTCCCTACATGAAAATAGAAAACACAAAGCCAACAGTAGCAGAGCTGCAGTGTTCTGGAAAGGACAGAGGGCTGTGTATGTATTTAAAACCTTTTCTTTCTTTAATCTGCAGGCATTGTGCCTTATTATCTTGTGTGTGCGTGTGTACACCCATGCCGGCGATGCTACATGGAGTTTGGAGGTCCTTAGAAGGAGCCAGTTCTCTCCATCCATCATGCAGGCTTCAGGGGCTGAAACCAGGTGGCACATGCCTTTAATCCCAGGGGACAGATGCAGGAGGACCTCTGTGGGCTTGAGGCCAGTTGGTTTACATCGTGAGTTCTAGGCCAGTCAGAGCTACAATACACTCTGTGTCAAACAAAACAAAACAAAAATAAATAAGTGGTGATATTTATCTATTCAAATAAACAGTTCTCCCCCCCCCCATGGTGTTCACGTGACAGAACCACATGGGATAAGGGCCAGATGCTATTTGTTGTAGAGCTAGCAGAAGTTTCCAATTTTAACTGAGTACAGGTTGGGCAATTCTCTGAAGCACTCCAGTTGCTAGAGTGAGTTAGAGCATCGCGAGCTAAGATACCCTCATACGGCTAAACTGGAACTCACTAGCTAGTATATACACGGCCATGCACAATGTGGGAAATGCCACAGGGCTCTGAAAGGTTGTACACTTTTTTGCCATAAGAAGGTGTAAGCGTTTTCCTTACCAGTGGCCCTGTCACTTTGGCTCCCATTGTTCCTCCTTCTCCATGGGAGAATCGGGTCCTCTCCGGTGTTCCTATGAGTCAACACCTGGCTGCTCTCTTCACAAATAGGACTTCTCTGGGTGAAATACAGTGTCCCTTCTTGCTGGGAGCCTGTGCGAGTGCCACTGGAATAGTTTGCCTTTGCTGAGCTTTGGCACTCAGAACGGTAAGGAGATGATAGGGCTGGGGCCAAAGCGAGTAGGTTGGAACAAGCGTCTGAGAATGGGAGATGACTTTCCTGAGTCCGCTGGTTCAAACGGTACTCTGTTGGGAGCACACATGAACTTACACAGTTCTGTGTCATGACGTTTGGAGACTGTTCAGGTGTAGCTAACTGACGTGGAGACATTTGCATATTTTTACTAGTTTTACTATTTGTTGGTAGTTTAGGCGGAGAATGAGGTATAATTAGTTTATCCTGAGTTTGGGCCTGTGCGTTGGCTTTGCTTGAAGACGATGGCTGGTTGACAGTGGCTTTTCTGTTCCCATGTACAAGGCCTGTCTGGACCTTTGCAGACCCTGTCCTCCTAGTCCCCTTTGCTGCCCTTGGAGGCTTAGACTTCTGAGTCTTCGCGTCACCAGCACACACAGGGGCTCTGCTCTCGTCTCTTCTGCAGGCCAACCAGGCTTGTTTAGCGAAGCTACAGCCTGAAGGTGGAGAAGAGGTCAAAGGCACACTGTCCATTTCATACCCTCCCGGGTCAGTGACATGTTCGGGGACACCGTCAGCCTTGGCTTTCTTTCCACCAGCAGAGTGTGCAGTACAGTCAGGGACGCTGGTCAGGTTGCAGGTTGGCATTTGCACACTGTTGGTGTGACAGTGCTGTAACCACTGTGCAGCCACCCCTGCCCTGTTCCTCACTGGGTGGCTATCATCTACACAGCTGTCTATGATGTCACTTTCATCAAGCCACCGTAGCTTTTTAATAGTCTTTGGGGTTCCTGTCCCTTTCCCTTTCTGTTTTGTTAATTCAATACTATCTCGAATAGCTTCTGCCTTTTGATGTCTAAACCTAAAACTCTGATTTACAACTAGTGCCTTGAGGTAATCATGATCGTATCTGGATTCTTTCTTTAATATACTCTTAAGCAGCCTCGCGCCACTTTGTTCATGGACGGTGTGCTTCGGGATGTGCTGCTCAGGCAAGTCACAGGCAGGCGTTGCGCTACACAGTGCGGCTGACGGTCCACTTGCTTTATGTTTTCTATCTTTTGAATTTGAATTTGGAGGGGCACAGGTGGCCTGGACACTGTCTTTATTACCGTTAGAATCGTTTATCTTTTCACATTTCACATCCTTCAGTTCATCTAACTTATCAGAACACTGCACGGGTTCAACTTCTTTTATGTGTGTGTTGCTCTCTGATAGGGGCCCTCCCGGCTGCGGATGAGGCGACGAAAGTACAGACGAGGGAGGGTTGGGAGCACTCCCGCTGTCTAGACTTGGCGCCGCCGACAGTGTCTCCTGGGTGGGCAGTGAAGCTGCTTCCTGGGTTGGAGACTCTGGAGTAGTCCAGGCCCCACTGACTTTAAACACGGGCTCCTCAGCGCCCAACAGCCTCTCCCTCTGGGCTGTTCCACACGTGGCATCACTGGTCCTCACAGTACTCCCTTCAGGCGTCTTCTCTCTGCTTTTATCTAGAGTAACCACGGAAGGACTACATACAAAGAGTACCGAGTCATTAGCCGTTCTGGTGGCTCTGTCCACAGTTCTGCTCAGAGGAGGCGGATTTTGTTCTTTATTACTCAAACATTCCCATGAGGGCAGAACACTAGATTTACTTAAAATGTCTGAAAAAGATGTGACAGGCTGAGTATTTTGGGCATCTAAGTTTGTAAGCCAATTGTTTATATGCTGGGTTTTAGAGAAAGACAGTCTACCTTCGTCACAGCAGTTTAGATGTGCTGACTGCAGACTTGCTGACTGGAGGGGAACAGAGTTCTGCTGGGCTGAGGTGGAAGGAGTCATACTAAGTGTTATGTATATTTCTTCACGCTCTCCGGCCTCGAGGCTGTCTATACTCGAGAGAGTTTCAGAATTGGTTATCTGATTAACTTCATCACAAAATTTCTGGAGGGGGAAAAAAAAAAAAACAACACTGTTTTACGCTGTAGACTCACTGTTACTGAGTTCAATTCTCCTTGACAGGGAAAATAATGTGAGTATAAACAGTACAGGTACAAGCTACACCCCTGCAGCAGACCTCATGGTAAAAAGTAAGAAAGGCATAAAAAAGTTTTTCCTTTCCTTTCACCAAAATAAGTGCTTAATTATACTGGCTACTATGATAGCTTAGAAGTATGCTATTCCACATAGGGGATGGAGTTTCTTTATGGTCTCATACTACTAGATTAATTCTGAAAAATACTTGCTGAACCCTTCATTGGACTTAAGAGACTCTTGGAAGTTATGTGATACAGTAGCCATCAATTACACCAGCCCTTCCATGATGAGATTGTGCATGGTCCCAGGGAGGCTACCCATAATCCAACAGGCGATTCTACATACATGCCCATTCAGACAGCACTAAGTGGACTCAGTCGGTTTAAAAAACAAAGCACATCAAGTTGGGATGGAAAAGTGGTGGGTGGCTGGGACGGGAGGAGACAGAAGGGTGAGATCAAAGCACATTTATGCACATATGAAATTCTAAAAACAAATAAATAAAGAGAATTTAAAAATAGAAAGTAAAGTTCTGTGTCCCTAATGTGAACTTTCTCTTGGTAGGAATTATATCATATATATATATACACACACACACACACATATATATATATATCTGAAATAGGATTTTCAACTCTGGCTGTATGTAAGAGACAGAGAGTTTCATAAAAATAAATGCTATGCCAGGGAGGATCAGAGGTTCAAGGATAGCCTTGGTTACATACAAGTTTGAGGCCAGCCTGGGATAAATTATAACTTATGTCCAAACAAAATACTGACGTGGTTCATTTCCCATGCGAGAGTCACACAGTAGTCTTACACTTACTTAACAATTTCAATGAAGCATGTGGATTCAGGTTTAAGAACTATTGATTCTAGGGGTTGGAGAGATGGTTCAGAAGCATCTATATGCATCATAAGTTTGTTTCTTTTTAAAATATAATTTCTCATAATAATAGTTATATTACACTATACTTTCAGTTTTTATATTTGTCAGAAAATAACATTCATACAGCCTAATTTTTTTAATAGATGGATAACGAGGAAGAGCAGAAAGAAAAATGGGAAGATGTCAGGGACAAAACCCAGTTTTAGCATCTGTGATGAGTTGAGCTGACTCATCCGCAGTATTTCTATGAGCTCCTTTTAGTGGCATGAAGAGCCCTGGGAAGTAGGACAGAATTATTACTACAAACGAAAGCACTAGTAACGTAAGTCATACTTGCAAACTGCTTAAATGTTGATTCTCTAGGAGCTTCTGAGTCTCCTCCAGTTTAAGCTGGAACACATTTTTGTTAGTAGCTACGTTTGCTATGTTGTTTTCCTTCATTTCTTTTTCACAGTTAATTCTGCGTACGAGATATTTTTGATGTTTGTGGTCATTTTTTGACAACGCTGAAGGCAAGGCAGAATCTATAGCTCTGTGAACCAGATATGAAAAGATTTAGTACATTTAACTGAAATTAACTTATTTCTGTAAGTATATAAATGACACAATTGTATATATAGTATGTGCACATGTGTCCAGATAATTACATATAAGGATATTGGAGAAATCTACAGACATACTAGAACAGGACTCTAGGGCGATGAACAACAGTAAAAACGACTGTGAGAGCAGGGTGCCAATGAAGAAGCTTCACACAGGGATGCCCACCCGTTCCTGGATACGGTACTCCACTCTATCACTCGGGCGGGGGAGGCATCCTGTGCATCTGTTGTCTGTTTTTACTCTCTACACACATTTTATATGGAGAATGCCTATTAACTTTTGTTTTTAGTTGATGTCACAGCCGGTGGTTATTCCTATATCCCAAACTGAACTGGCCGAGATTCTAGCAGAAAGAAAATATGGACTAGCTTTGTTGGGGATAGGTATGAATGTCCTCCATGCATGACTAGCTATGGGAGTGTAGCTCTTACTCAATCAAGAATACAAACCTTTGTTTTCAGTTTGTTTCAGGAACATAATCAGAAATATAAGCATATATTTTTTTAAAGATTTATTTTTTAAATGTACATTGGGGTTTTAGGGTGTCAGATTCCCTGGAACTGGAGTCAAAGATATCTGTGAAGTGCCACATTGTTGGTGGGAATCGAACCTGGGTCCTTTGGAAGAGCAGCTAGTGCTCTTAACTCCTAAGCCATCTCTCAGGCCCCATATAAGAGTATTTTTTTTATGCTACAAAAGTGGCTTCAGTAGTCTACCTTTGGTGTGTCCAATCAGGACAATAGCTTTGTTTTATTTTTTTACAGTGCTGCACTGTAAACTCAGGACACCTTTTCTATTAGATTTTTGTGCTGTCTAGAAACTGATAAATTGTTACATTTCAGTACATATATACAGTGAAAAAAAAATCCAATTCCTTCAAGGATAAGTGGATGATGAAAGATACAGCTGATTGAGGGGCATTTATTACCAACTCAGTTAAATTATTTCCAATTAAATCAGGATAAAGAAACATTTTGGAAGGTGGCTTATTGCCACATGTGACATATAACTATCTCCAATACCCATATATGTTTTTATTTAGACAGACCAGAAACATCAAGGTCAGTGATTACAACATTCCTAATTATTCCTTTGTCATCATCACCAGGGGATCATGGCTAGTGAGAAGGCATTTAGTACACATTCCTGAACATTGAGGGCATGTTTCTATTTTTGTTTTTATACTTTTCTACTCTTACATAATCCTTCCCCTTTAGTGACCCTTCCCAAACAAAATAGAAGTAAATCTACAAAAATGTCTAATAAACTCAATTTATTTACCTTTAAAGTTGTCGTCTCTCAACTTTTTCTTCTCTATTCCTTTCTTCTCTACTCCACTTTCTTCTCTCCTCTTCTCTACTTTCTTCCCCCAGGGAGGAGGATTGAAGGGATGGATAGGAATAAAAGGAGACGGGGAGGAAGAAATCGAGGTAGAGTGAAGCATGGGAGGAAAGGAAGAAGAAATGATAAAAGAGGAGGAAGCAGGAGACACCGGAGAGGGAAAAGCCAGGTAAGTCGGAGGCCAACACGGAGAGGGAGATGGATGCAAAGGACAGGGCGACAGAGGGACCGATGGAGTAGGCAAGGGAGGGGAGGTAGAGGAAGAGGGCGGCGAAGGAGAAGAAAGTAGAGATGAAGAGGAAGAAACTACTGCCAAGGGCGAAGAGGACGTGGAAGCAGAAGGCGATGAAGGCACAGTAGAGGGTGGAGAGTGACGTGGAGGTGGGTGGGAGGGAGTCAAGGAAGGCAGACGGTCTACGGAGGCCTGAGGCTCATCTGACACCGCTGTGGTTTGTGGCACAGGTTTCTGAGCGGAATGGCAAGCATCAAACCTAGCGGAGTGCTCAGGCCAAGGAGTGACACAAGAGCGGGGTGGGGCTGGCTGGGCTGAGTGACTGCATAAACTGGAAGGCTTCAGAACAGGGAGACATCCCAAGGGGCTCGGGGAGACAAGCAGGTGAGCTGGAAGGGAGCGGCGGACGAGGGCTGGCTTCAGAGTTGCTGGGGGAGCATGCTGTGGCGCGAGCAAATGTTTGGGTCTCAAAGTTCTGTGAAATAATCTATTCTGTGAGTCAGGGTCGGGAATGACTGGAGAACTTCGGGATGGGGGAGGCTGAGGGACAGGTGGCCCCGAAGGAACAGAGGCCGGGAGACTAGGGAAGCTGCTGGAAGAGCTACAAGTGACTGGGGTTGCAGGGTGAGGGGGATAGCCGATAGGATAAGATAGTAATGGGGCTGGTAAAAATGTCTTTGGAAGAGTAGAGGGGACAGATGGAAGGACACAGGTCCGCGGGCCAGGAAAAGCATCAGGGTAGCTAGGAAGAATTTGAGGGTGATGGGGTAGCAATGGGGCCCGTGAAGCAGACGGCTGACCAGGTAGGTAGGGATCAGGATTGGAGATAGCTGGACAGGCAGGAATGGATCTGCATAGGTGGGAAAGTATTTGGACAGGCAAGTAGAAAGAACCTCATTAAGATTTAAAAAAAAAAAAAAAAGAAAAAAACCTTTATTACTGGGCTGCCTGTGGGCTTTTGATGGATTTTGATTTTATCCTTTGGGTCCATGCTTGATCTTCCATTTGTCAGCCAGATTCCTCTCATTCTGACTGACTGAAGCAGGTACACAGATGATTCAAGTTCACCTTTCCTCTCTTTTCAAAAGTCTGATGCACCGATATAGGCAGGAAATCTAGTTCAAACCACTAGTGTGAAGGCCACATGCAGACATCTCGGGCAGTGGGTGGTTCAGGAGGGACTATCTCATGACAAATACATGGATATTGGAGATAGATGTCTAACAAATTGTTTTGTTACACTATGCCCTCTCTACTCTACATCCACCAGAAATGCCAAACAGATTAGCTTTGTGATAAGAACTTAATTGTGATGGAAGGTTGATTATTTCTGTATTTTAAAAGTTAATGCCTTATTAACATTTTTAGATCTCATTACTCCCTGAGGTGGTTTCTTTATTCCTTAAAACATATTTGCCGATTTTTATCGAGGCTTAAGAACTAGCCCCCACTTTTCCAAACAGATTTTCATTTTAGATTATAACATTAGCATCTTAATATAGTTTTATTTACCATTAGCATTCTCTATGTCAGAACCACCTCTTGGGCTGACGCTGTGGCTGCTCAGTCCCAGCAGAAGTACTGCTATCCTCTGCTTCTCTGGAACTGTTTCATGGCCTCAGTTTATTTCTTAACCTACTCTAGGTTTATATTCCACTGGAATGCATTTGTGACATGACAATAGCTTATTAATCCTTGTATAAATATTTGTAAGAAATTTATTTCCATAAAACCAATAAATGATCATTAAGAGACTAAAATTTCATATTTATATGGCATTTATAATTTTTAGAAAACTTAATATACAGTATTTAACACAGCTATTTGGGGAGGGAAGTCAAACTTTTTATTAGTTAATCCTGATATCTTCTTTCATAGATTATATATATATATACATATATATAATATACTATATATATTATATACATATACATACACATAGATATCACAAAAATAATAGTTAAAATATATTATGAAAACTAGGTACTTTATATAGAATGCAGGTTATTTCTCACAGTGACAGTACTTACTACTTGTTATTTTAGTACATACTTGCTAAAATGATAACATACTTGTTTGCTTTGGAAGAATTGAAGTTATCTTGACAGTTTAACCCTTCTAAGATTTTAAACAACTGCACATTGCTGATCAAGAAAACCCACCATGCTTTCATTTATTGCACAAAAGAGGTGCTTTTGAAATGGAAAATATCTGGTCAGAGCAAGATAACGGTTGATACACAGAAAAAGAGGCAGAAAAGTGAAGGGTCTCTGTACAAAAATGCTAAGTCGTTCAGAAGTTTTAAGGCCAAAGCTCCCCTGAGCCTTGCCTGCCTTGGCCATTATGTGCCATCTTTTATCAGGATAAGCTTTCCTAGAATATTCTAAAATCATATAGCCTTCATGTCTCCAACTTTGGTTTCTTAACACACATTTCAAACTTGTTTCACTTCAATGTGTTGCTTTGCTTATGATTAACTACTAACCCAATAAGTGTAAAAGCAGAAATCTGAGCACTGTCTTTAATGGCTTTGGTTTCCCACTATCTTTTTCAACTTCTCTGGCTGCTCCTTTGAGGCTTACTCTTGAGGCCAGCCTTCTGGAAGTTCTGAGAGTGGCCACCCTTTTCTTACTCTACCAGAGCTCCTCATGGCATCCTGTGGAAATTGACTGTGATGTTCTCTATATCTCTGTGGCTGTACAGGGTTAATGATGTCCTTTTGTCCTTCTCAATGGACTAATTCAGCTTTCGAAGGCGATTCCTTGGGAAGTGGTTCATCATTTGTGATCACATTGTTTTACAGTGGTGCTGTCATTTGTAGGAGGTATGAACTCAGCAAAAACTAGCTTTAAACTGCTTTGTGGCCCGCCCTGAAGAATTCTCATATCCGAGGATATGGCATTCTGATTGTTGAACTCAAAACCACCACAGATATAGACCACTGTTGTGTTTTTATGTGTGATGACTGTCACATTTGTATTCATGGCCTAGACTACCTTTTTCTCTTTTCCTCCTCCTCTTCTTTCTTTTATTATAAGTGAGCCACTACAGTATTTGTTATTTACATGGATACTGGGGACCTGAACTCTGGTCTTCTTGCTTTTGAAGCAAGCATTTTAACCACTGAGTCATCTCCCTAGCCCCAGCCTAGACGTATCATGAGAAACTGGTTCCTGAATACCTTGTACTCCAAACTTACAACTTACCCTATCTTCCTTTCAACTTCCCTTTCCCTAAACCTGTTGCTTCTTCCTTCATAGTCATATTCTTTTTATTGTGGCAAAATGCTTATCATGAGCTCCACCTCTTTATCTGCATCCTTAAGTTTTCATAAATGGTCACTATCTACTTGCTGACCAAATCCTGTCTCTGCAGTCATCCCTGACTCTTCCTCATCTTCTAGTTCCCTCCTTGGAAGTTCTGAAGAAGTCATTGTTTTGTTAACTTAAGTACCAGTTTATCTGATTTCCCCACAGTTAGTCTGACCCTACTCATTTGGCAAAACTTCCAAAACATTGAGAGCTTGTTTCAATTTTTTTCAATTATTTCAAGAACACTTTACTTCACAGGCTCTTCCTGGTTTAACTCGGTTTCCTTTGTAATTTCCTACTGACAACTCTCTTTTCATTGTACATGTAAGCCAAATTAAACTAATTAAACTGTAGTAATCTTGCCTCTGATGAATATCCTCCTCATTTGTATAGCTTCAGGCCAACTTTTACCCTCAGAGTGTTTACTTATATCTATGATACTCTCCCCTTATTTCTGGAATTCGTCCAACATGTGTAACACTATAGGTAATGTATGTGTAAGACCTAGTCACTATACTGAACAAAATGACATCTGTCTTGGGAAACAAAAATACAAAACAAAGAAATGAGTAACAATAAAACCACAACCTACATGTCTCTTTCTAGTCCTCTTATCTCAACTTGGATAAAAAATTTTTACATTTATAATTGGACTCCCATCTTCTGATTAAAAAAGCTTAAATAAAAAATTTAAAGTCTCACCAAATTCTCTTTTAAAATAAATTTGTTGTAAAATACTTGCAAATAAATAAAAGCATTACACATCAAAATTAACCAGACCCAAAATCTATACAACTTAACGAACTTACATAAAGTTGGAGTTGGCATTTGATATGGAAGTTGTGAAGCTTCACATTAAATTTTATATTTTTAGTATTGAATGTGTTTTATGCATGCATCCACCACCAATTCCTCCCCCCCATGACAGAATTAGCACTAGAAAAACAGTTTTGTATCTTTTTTTATAACTCATGGCCATTTCCTGCATTCATTCCTTTCTCATCTTAATTATATTTAGCTTTACTTTCTTGTAATGCTGTAACCACATGTACATTTGCTTATACATATACATATATTATTGGCTAGAGAGAAAATATGTAGTTTATTCCTTGCCCAGATTATGTGACATCACTTAATATTGTACATATTCATTCACTTTCCTATACATTTTTAACTTAATTTTCCTTTACAACTTAGTGCACACACGCACGCACACACACGCGCACACACACACACACACACATCCCATTTTCGTTACCCATTCATCTGTTGATGAACAATAGGGCTGATTCCAATTCTTTGTTATGGTGAAGAAAGCAACAATAAACAAGGGGTCCAAACATCTCTATGGTAGGGTTAGAGTTGTCTGGGGATATTCTCAAAAGTGAAATAGCTCAATTATATGGTAATTAAATTTTTATTTTTATTTTGAGAAATCTCTAAACTTTTACTCACCAAATTCTCCCCTTTACCTTTATTGTTTTCATTGCCCTTATGGTATCATACCAAATTCATAATCTATTCTTTTCAAGCAATGTTTTCTTCCCCCCTCTCTTCCTCTCTCCATTATCTACTTTCTCTCCCCATTATCCACAATGTTCTATAATGATTGTAATGATATGTTAAAAAGAAGACTTTGTGCATTTGCTTAAAATTATCTTTAAAAATCTCAGAAGTTTATATTTCATTTCTTCTCTAGATTCCATTTATTTGTATGTGTTTCTATGTGCATACAAAAATGAGAGGTCAGCTTGTATTAGTTTGTCTCCTTTGACCATGGGGTCCTGGGGATCAAATGCAGGGTGTCAAGTTTGGTGGCCAGTGTGTTTACTCCCTAAGCCATCTCGGTTGCCCTCAAATTTGTACTTCTTAGCATACAGACGCATCTCTCTTTGTACTCTCAGATCTAGTTAAGGTCTTCGTATTTGTATTCTCTGCTTCATCTACGTTATTATTATTGTTGTTGCTGTTGTTTTGGATAGGGTCTCATGTAGCTGAAGTAGGCTCTCAACTCTTGATCTTCTTGATTCCACATCATGAACTCTGGGATTGCAGGCATGCATCTCTGCTCCTACCTCAAAATACAGGGTCTCTCTTTGTCTCTTGCCTACCTCTGCCTTCTTCCGTCACCTTCTCTCTGTAGAGGGCGGGTCAAACCCAGGGTCTGGAGCATGCTCAGTAAGCATGCTCCCACTGAACTACAGCACCAGCTGACTCAGCTCACCTTTTCCTGACAGCATCACTGCTACTTTAGCATTTGTGGTCTTAGCATGTGCTCATCTATATAGCACCACTCACCATTACCTCATACTTTCTTCAGAGCTTGGCTGAAGCATTCCTTTTTAATGAGACTCTAACAGACTCTAATGACTAGTGACCACATTGAATATCTGTTTTTTAGCTCTAGTCAGGAGAGTTATTGACCAGAGGAATTCTAAGAGCAGAATGATAAACTACATAGGTAAAATATTAACACAATTTATAGCCTGAATTATTAATAACTCCATTCAGGTAAGTGTTCTGATTATTACTACTCATGTGTGATAGGGGATGTTCTCTGTATCTGCGACTATATGCTTTTCTTATTGGTTGATGAATAAAGCTGTTTTGGCCAATGGACAGGCAGAATTTGGCTAGGCAGGAATTCCGAAGAGGCAGGGAGGAGACAGAGTGAGGGGATGCCATGTAGCCACCAGGGAGGCAGGATGCCAGGGCATCATCTAGGTAAGCCATAGCCACATAGAGATACATAGGTGAATAGAAATGGGTTCATACTTGAGAGAGCTAGCCAGTAAGAAGCCTAAGTCACTGACCACACATCCATAAACATATATTAAATCTCTGAGCGGTTATCAGGGACCCAATGGGCGGGGCAGAGAGAAAGCAGTTCAAGTAGGACCCAGACTAGACAGAGAAAAGTATCTCTTATTTTTTTTTGTTTGTTTTTGTTTTTTGTAGTGCTGGGGATCAATCCCAGGCCCTTACACATGTGGGGCAAGTGCTCTTCCACTGAACTACATACAACCACAGTGCTGATCATTTCCAAAGAATTTTAACTTCTCTCTAAGGTTCTATACGAGGTATTGTCTGTCTGTATCAGTCGATCTAGCTACATGTAGTGCTCTTAATCACTGAGCCATCTCTCCCTCCAGCTCCTAGGGATAGAATTTTTAGCAGTCTACTCCTAATTGCTTTCCAATGCTTCATCTAGTTCTCTGCATATAGTAACATCAAAAAATATTTGGAAAAAATGGAAAAGACATTTATTGGAGGAAATATATAGTGACTGGCTAGTCCATGCTATTGCTTTTATATGACTTATTTATGCAACTCTGGAGATAAACTACAGACATTGTAGTTTTGAGACAATAACAACAAAAAAATCTGAGAAGAAAACCACTGCAATAACAAAATTATTTTTTAAACTAAATTTGTATCAATACATTTTAAACAATTTTATCTATTCAATGAACAATAAACATCAATATATTTAAATAGCTTTGATATTTTTCATAGAACATTATTCACTATTGGCAGTATTTGTTTTATTACTGACTGTAAGACCGCAAATTATAATTGACATAATTCTTAATTAATTTGTAAAATGAACAAATTCTAAAACAGGGATAAGAAGTAACCAATGAGCCAAGCGGTTGTGGTGCATGCTTTTAATCCCAACCCTAGGGAGGCAGAGGCAAGTGGATCTCTGTGAGTTTGAGGCCAGCCCATTATACAAGGTGAGTTCCAGGACTGCTAGGACCATACAGAGAAACCATGTCTTGAACCAATGAAAAAGACTACACATTTGGTGATCAGAAAGCCATATGGTTATTGTATGTTAAGTGATAACAGTCTAATAATATTAAAACAGTAATAATAAATTACTTACCGCCAACTTGTTGCTGGTCTGTGGGAAAGAGGAATGTTTACTTCTGATTTTAAGTTGGATTCCTGAATTTGTTTAAGGGCCTCTTCTAATGGAGGAACTGGATTGTGAAAAACTAAGGGAATAAAAAAAAACAAATAATAATAATTTTATCACCAATGGTTTATTGGTATATAATTTAATTGGCCAATAAAATATTTCAAAGTTCTTGTATAAAATTTACAATAGAATACAAATTTAAACTTTGATATGTAAGTCCTAAGAAAGGTATTGTTACTTTGAGATCTTTATCATCAATTTTATTTGAAAAAAAATTTGAAAAATGTGTAGGTTTTTCTGATGTATGAACTTCTCTATATTTAATCTCATGGTCTTAAAATTTTTACATATTCCTCTGAATAAAATGAAAAAAATAAACTTACACTCCATCGCTGTGCCTCTGCTAGACCCTCAGCTGTAGAGTGCCAGGTCCCGGCTAGATCCGCCTCTCTGTGCAGGGACATCCTGAGTCCCTGCCTGCTGGATCTTTGTCCTATAGGCAGGCCTCTGCTAGAGGTGAGTCTGGTAACAGTTCTGGTTGAATCTCGCCCAACACCCTTCCCTGGGACCTCCCCGGACTGGCCCCGAACCTCGCTCCCCCCTTTGTCATTAAATATCTTGCAAAGGAAGAAGTCAAACTTTCTCTATTTGCAAATGATATGATAGTTTACAAAAGCGACCCAAAAAACTCTACCAGGGAACAGCTGATAAACACCTTCAGCAAACTAGCAGGATACAAGATAAACTTAAAAAAAAAATCAGCTGTAGTTCTGAAAACAGCCTGGTATTGGCACAAAAATAGACAGGTAGACCAATGGAATCGAATTGAAAATCCTGACATTAACCCACACGCCTATGAACACCTGATTTTTGACAAAACAGCTAAGAGTATACAATGGAAGGAGGAAAGCATCTTCAGCAAATGTGCTGGCACAACTGGATGAAGGTGTGTAGAAGACTGCAGATAGACCCATGTCTATCACTATGTACAAAACTCAAGTTCAAATACATCAAGGACCTCAGCATAAATCCAGCCACACTGAACCTCCTAGAAGAGAAAGTAGGAGGTTCCCTTGAACAAACTGGTACAGGAGACCATTTCCTGAACATAACTCCAGTAGCACAGACACTGAGATGGACAGTTAATAAATGGGACATTCTCAAACTGAGAAGCTTCTGTAAGGCAAAGGACACAGTCAATAAGACAAAACAGCAGCCCACAGACTGGGGAAAGATCTTCATCAATCCACATCTGACAGAGGGCTGATCTCCAAAATATACAAAGAACTCAAGAAGCTAGTCAACAAAACACCAAATAACCCTATTAAAAAATGGAGCACAGAACTGAAGAAAGAATTCTCAATAGAGGAAATCAAAAAGGCTGAAAGACACTTAAGAAAATGCTCCATATCCTTAGCTATCAGGGAAATGCAAATCAAAACAACTTTGAGATACCATCTTACCCCTGCCAGAATGGCTAAAATTAGAAACACCAGTGATGACTTATGTTGGAGGGGATGTGGAGAAAGGGGAACACTCCTCCACTGCTGGTGGGAGTGGCAAACTCATTCAGCCATTTTAGAGATCAGTATGGCGGTTCCTCAGGAAAATGGGAATTAGTTTACCACAGGACCCGGCAATCCCCCTCTTAGGCATATACCCAAAGGATTCACATCCATGCAACAAAGACATCTGTTCAACTATATTCATAGCAGCACTATTTGTAATAGCAAGAACCTGGAAGCAACCTAGATGCCCCTTAACTGAAGAATGGATAAAGAAGATGTGGTACATCTACACAATGGAATACTACTCTGCAGAAAAAAATAATGGAATCTTGAAATTCGCAGGCAAGTGGATGGAACTTGAAGAAACCAGTCACAAAAAGAGGAACATGGTATGCACTTGATCACATATGGATTTTAGACATAGAACAAAGGATCACCAGCCTATAATTCACACTGCCAGAGAAACTAAGATACAAGGAGGATTCTAAGAGATTCATATAAGGTCCCTCACCAGAGGGGAAAGGGACAAAATCTCCTGAGCACATGGCGAGTGGGGGCAGTGAGTGGAGAGGGAACTGGGAGAAAGAGAGGGGGAGGAGAGGAGAGCATGTGGGACTAGGAAGATTGAGTCAGGGAGGAACAGACTAGAGGAGGGGGGGCATAAGAGAGGGGGAGCCATCATAGGTTTGAAGAGAAAACTGACTCTAGAGAAATGTCCAGTACAAGTCTGACCCCAACTAACAATCTGAGCAACAGTGGAAAGGCTACCATAAATGCTCTTCTCTGATAATGAGATTGGTAACTAACTTATCCACCATCATGGATCCCTCATCTAGTAGCTGATGGAAACAGAAGCAGACACCAGAAGTAAACACTGAGCCGACCTGGAATCCAGATGCAGAGAGGGAGGACAAGACCAGGTTGCAGAAACACATAGAGACAGCTGACCTGAACAAGGAGGAGCTAAGGGGCCCCCAAATGGATAGCTGGGAATCTAGCATGGGACTGACTCAGACCCCCTGAACATGGGTCTCAGTTAGAAGGCCTGGGCAGTCTAAGGGGCCTCAGACAGCGGAACCAGGATGTATTCCTGGTGCACGAGAGGACTTTGGGAGCACATTCCCCATGGAGGGACACTCCCTTAACCGAGATGCAGGAGAGAAGGCCTAGTCCCTACTCCAAATGACTTGACAGATTTAGATGACCCCTCCTGTGGAGTGGGGGGGGTGGTAGTGGGGGGCATGAGACGGTGGGAGAGAGGGAAAGAGGGTGGGAGGAAAGGAGGGAGAGGGAACTGGGATTGATATGTAAAATAAAAACAAAAAATAAATTAATATATTAAAAAAAATGAACTTACTTTGGGCCTTTACTGCTACACAGCTTATTGGAAGTGTGTTCGCCCTGGCTATGGCACAGGTGTTATTTGAATTTTACAACTGAGGAGGATCTATGAGGAAGGCAAGCTATGTCTTCATGACAATATGGTGCACAGACACTAGCCCACACTGCTCTTTAGACCCTCGCTCATTCTTGATTCCCGTGTACACCCACGTTCATTCAAAGCCCTCCAATGTGCATCGCGGTACTCAACATGTTCCTTTCCTTCTAATGTCCCTTCCACCGTTGGGTAAAACACAGCTGTTTTTAAAAAATGCTTTCCCTTACAGCCTTTGCATATGGAAACATGTTCCACTCATTAAATTCTATACACAATTCAAAGCCTGTGGTAGAGGACATGATTTTCTAGCTCAAACTCTTTGTGGAAACCTAGTATTTTTTAAAAGAACAGCTATACTTTTGAAACATCCATGTCACTATACTTCCTCACTATTCTATTGGCAGGGATTTTTTCCGAAGCACTTAAGGAAAGCCAGCATACCGTTACCCAGGTGTTAGGTCAAACTTTAACTCTAAACATGAGAGAGGGTAATAGGTGTGAATAAGATAATATTTTATACACGTATAAAGATATTATGAGACAGAATGAATACATGCTAGTAAAATACTGCCATTTATTAATGCAGATTATGTGGGATGCTGTCTGCCAAGTTCCTAAGGCATTGTTCTTGTAGCTTTTCTTCTCCTGTACTAAGTAATTCTACCAATTGTGGTGTCTGAGTAGATTACCCCTTCTGTGTATACACAGTTACTGCTCAGCTGAGGAACTTAATGCATCTTCCCAGAGGTCTTCTCCCCCTAGCCTTTAGCTTCCATCCACATCCCATGCTGTCACTATAATTACCCTTCTAACAAACAGATCTTACCATGGGAGGACTGCCTTATAGTCATTTCCTTTTGTTAGCAACGAAGCTTATACTGTTAGGAGTAGAAACAGCGCCAACATTGAGAATGTTTCAGCTTCCCTTACAAATGCAGCCAAATAGATAAAATTACACAAATGGAGGCTGGCCTCTAAGAAAGTGACTTAAAGGGAAAGGTTCAGAGGCATAACCTTTATGTCCTTTTTTTTTTTTAAAAATATTTCTGTCTAGTATACCAATTTTATGGTTGGCGATGTAGTAGCTACCATATCCAAGAGTAAAGAGAGAAACCACTTGTAGAAAGTGGCTAGCTGAAAGACAGCAGGCATCCATAGAGCCATGGAACCAGCTCTTGACCTCTGTCTAGTATACCAATTTTATGGTTGGCGATGTAGTAGCTACCATATCCAAGAGTAAAGAGAGAAACCACTTGTAGAAAGTGGCTAGCTGAAAGACAGCAGGCATCCATAGAGCCATGGAACCAGCTCTTGACCTTATGAGAGGAAAAGAAAACCCTACCATGTTTTGGTGTCTTCACGCTATCAGTGTTCTTTGCAGCACCTATTAATACTAAGATACCTTAGTAACACAGACATGGATTTCTTTCCAGTTCAAAAATGGCATTCTGTATAAAGATGAACTTCCTAGCATGGCATACAAAGTTCTTCAGGAGTTGGCTCCAACTCACTTCTAGTTTCAAATTAATATTCTTCTCTTCTTACCCACTAACTTATGCTTCTGACACACTGAAAGACACAGTGCATGTGTATGAGCTGTCCCTTCTGTCTGGCAAGATACTGATTCAAGAGTCATGCATGTCATTATTCTAGAAACAATGACCTAATGTCCTGATACATGCTAACGTTCTTTCCTGTGTTTTCACAGTAGTTACACATTCTGCTATCACATCAATTATTGTACCAATGATACTGCTTAAATTCTTATCCACAATAAGTTGTGGTTTTTAGTGTTAGAGCACAATTCCAGTTTCTGTAGCTCAGTACAGCTGAGGGCAGAATAGAGCACAGTAGAGTCCATGATGGCTGGGTCCATCACAGTACTGCCAACTCTCTTTCTTTAGTAAGCTTTGGCATACTGTTAGCTCTCTCTTGCTATCTAAGGTCTAAAATTGTGGCTGTGATATGAAAACATCAATTACGGTCATACTTAAATTCCTTTTTAATGTGTGTGCCTGTGTGTATACGTGCTGATATGTGGAAGGCAGGTATGTGTGGGTATTTGCAAAGGTGAGTCTGCTGCAATCACATTCCACTGTTTACTCAGGCAGGATCTCTCACCTGAACAGAGAGCTTGCCAAGCCTAGCTAGCCTCTTGCTCCAGGGATCCTGTCTGTGCTTCTTAAGTACAGGCCGTGGCCACATCTGCCTGGCTTATTTAGTTCTGGTGATGCAAACTTCAGCCCTCAGGCTTCACAAGTGCTTTATACCAAAGCCATCTCCCTGGTCCAATTACTTCAATTCTTAATTGGTTTGGGGCCTTATATTGCTGGATTATATTATTTTGTATGTTGTGCTTTACCAATCTCTCAAATAAGAATTGGAAGTGAACCAGAAGTAAAATACCAGAATGAATGTGACAGCAATTTCCTGAGCCCAACTGCTACATTTTCTGTTAAGTTACTTAAAAAAAGTTGATTTTAAAAACACAAACATTGTGAACTAGCATGAAGTTGAGAAAAACCTGTGGGTGAATAGAGAATTTACTAATGTAGCCAACACAGTATTCTCCAAATTCAATTTAAATCCAATTCCTGATCTTCATTTGGTTAAAGTGCCTGCTACCCAGACAGCACACCAGGCTGCCGTGGTTTTGCTTTCTACTTGTTCTTAATGTGTAATTTTATTGTTTACTCTATTTCAGTCCTATTACAACTTTCGGTTTTGTTTCAGAATTGTTCCAGAAATGAAGGTACCTGCCCTCCTCCTCTGAGAGAGAGGGACATGGGCACGCTGAAATTTTTCCGTGACTTCCTCAAACTTCTGCTTCCTCTGTTGCAGGATGCGCTCTCTCATTTGATGCTCTCTTTCCTCTTGCTCTCTGCGTCTCTCTTCGAAAGCTCTAGATTTAAGATATGAAGGAGATGGGAGAGACAGACAAGAAACTGAATGAAACAACAAATCATTTGAAAGTATCACTACTTATGAAATAACAGTATTTACATTGTACTTAGAGACAACACATTTGTGATTTTTAACAGGGCATTGGCTAAGAATTTACATGTATAAAATGGTAATTTCAGGCTCTGCAGTGAGGCCCCTTTCTGATTTCTGGCAGGCACGCCACTGTCTCATGCCCTCCCGTGGTAAAAAGCCTTTTCTAAGAGTCATGCTGTTTCTGGCGTTCACTGGTGAAAGAAGTAGCCTTGCCAATTATGGGGAAGTCAGGGAAATGGCTTCGTCCTTTTACATCAAAAGTTTAAAATTGGCTGTCATATAAGTCTTAACTACTAAAATTACAACTTTTTATAAAAATAAGTGTTGGTTTTCAGCTTCTGTTATAAATATGAAACCCAGAACTCTTCAGTAGACAAAGTTACAAACATCTGCCCTGTAATATTCAGTTTTTAAAAGTATTTATTATTATTATTGGGGTGGGATACATATTCTATAGCATCCTGTGGAGGTCATAGGTCAACTCTGAGGCACTGGATTTTCTCCTTCCATCTATACGGGATTCTAGTGGTCAAACTCAGGTGTGTTAAATTAAAGCACTGTTAGAATGTGGCCTGCAAGCCAATGCTTCTCTTGAGCAATGCGACATGCCGTAAAAGCGAGTCTGAAAAGTTAATGCAGTGGTGTTTACACTGTGCTTCTTGCCTTCCTCAGTCAGGATCTGCAGGGTTTCTCTTATTTGCTGATGTGTCAGGCACTCTGATAAGCAATGGAGATGTAGAAGCAGTGTGGAAGCGAGGAAGAAAGCTCCCCACCTCTACAGAGCTGACACTAGGGAAGCCATGTTGTCATTCCATCGCCTCTGGGCTTGGCAGTTTCCACAGAAGACACACAGTCTGTCGTGGTGACTTCTGAAGGGTCTGTTCAACCTGTGGAGTTCTGCTTCATGAAATACGTGCAACACCTTGGCTCAAGGTAATCGACCTCATTAAACGACAATCACATGCCAGGCTGTTGGTTTTGCTTTCCCAAGAGCCTATCACTGTGTGATATCATTTGCTCCTGCTGGAAGTATTCCTAGGGACAAATAATGTGCCATGGTGACAGTTTTCAGTAGCAACACAATAAGCAGTAGCACTAAGAGCACTCGAGGCCCCAAGGGATGGCGCATGGAGCTGGAGGTTGCCGTTGTGATACCTTTCCTTTTCCTTAACAAAATCCTATCTCAGATGTAGTAGTTACAACCTTAAACATGACACTTAACTTTAAAGCTCTACCACATTGAGGCATTAGAAATTAAAAACTAGGGTCAGAATATCTTTTAAAATTGAAAATGCAATTGGAAGAAATCATTTTCAAGGATGAAATATATTAAATGATGGTGCTGACAGCCTTGCAAGAGGCAAAGTCAAGAAGATTCTGAATTTTCTACATGGCAAAGAGGCACATGCTTCACATTATTAGCCCTGTTCTTGTCAAGATAAAAAAATATTTGAAATCCCCCAAATCTATACTGAAATTCCTATTTTTTCAGTGGGTAAGTTTTCACTTGACTAGAAAACCAGCCAGCCAAACAAACAAACTGGTGAAGTAAACATCCAAATACAGAACCCCCACATTCTGATTACCAGACAGAATTAATACTGTATATAAAACAAAGAAAATGAGCAAGGCATTCCTCTAAAGACTGCAATATCAGTAAAAATAAGCATGTCACTATCAATTAACCAAAGCTTATAACTTGTAATCCCGAGATTAAGATCCTTAAGTCCTAGTCACATGTCTTCTTAGGCTCAGTTCTAACACAAATCTTACAGATCATATCAGAAGTATCAGGGGTAGAAAAGAAAAGCAATGCCACTTCCAAACGGAGGCACACGGACATCAGAGAGGACCGCTGCTCTGGGCAGATGAGGCTCAGGTAAGCACTGATGTTCACATGGCAGTGAAATCGTCCAGTGAAACCCTTCTGAGGATAGACACACTGCTAAAAGTTCATCTATCTGTCTCCTACCTACCCATCCACCCATCGATTGATCTGTGTTTTTTCTTTCAAGCGGAATCTGAGATGAAGAACAAAAAACGGATAGGCTAGGACTTTTGGACCTGAAGAACAACATGGTGATAAGTTCTAGAATAAAGAACCTAAAACTTAACAAAGACAAGCAATTCGGAAAAAAAAAAATCACAAAATCATCTGCCTATACACCACAAAACGTGGAATAGAAATATCCAACAAATATATGAGAAAACACTCACTACTATTAGCCAACAGGAGAATACAGAAAGCTACAATGAAATAGCATCTTACCCCCACTGGAATAATACATTATGACAAGTACTGGTAATGGTGTGGAGAAACAAGGTTCTTTCATGCTGCTGGCAGGAATGAAAGTGAACACAGTCTACTGATAAAAATAAAACCAAACAACAACAACAACAACAACAACACCCACAACTCTCACCTCAAAGGGAATAAGAGATTATTAGTGCTGGAGTCAAATGTAAGTGGCCAATGCCTGGCAGTGTAGATTTGAGTTATTCCAAGTATCATGTTCCAATATGGTAGTAGTTTCATGATGTTTTCAGTAAAAAGGACATAACAAATTAAGATACTTGAAATATATATTGTTAGAAACATCAGGGGGGTGGCTTCTAGCAAATCAGGGAAATTGCTGCTATTATGCTTAGATTGTGTTTGCAAACTGCTTAGCTCTAGAGTTAGTGGAAGCTAGACATCTTTAGTGGAAGCTAGACATCTGTTTATATATTTTTGAAAGGGCTTACCAAGTAGCCACAGGATATTAGGTTAAACAGAGGTGGGCAATAGATTGTTCTTTAGAAAACTAAGAATAGAAAACTAAGAACTAGAATAATTTGGTTCTGGACCGGCAGTCTTCCAACTCTCCACATTCACCAAAATTATAAAATCCACAAATCACCATGTAAAAAGTGTGGATGTCTCTCAAATAACTGGAAGCAATATCCTATGAGACAGCTATGAGACAGGGTTTTTCTGTGACTTTGGAAGCTGTCTTGGAACCAACTTTGTAGACCAGGCTGGCCTCAAACTCACAGAGATACACCTGCCCCCCCTCCCCAGTGCTGGGATTAAAGGCCTGTGGAACCACCACCTGCCTCTGGGTTTTTATTATTAAGACCAACTAGAATTTGTGCTACACAGAAGGAAGAATAAGACCCTGTCACTTGCAGGAAAATGGATGGAGATAGAGGATACTATGCTACACAAATAATCCAGATGCAGAAAGTCAAGTAGTAGCTTTTCTTTCTTTTGTATGTGAAAACTTAAACAAAACAAAGCAAGGGACCTAAAACTTCAGAGGAGATACCGGGGCTGGGATGTGAGTGGGGCAGAAGACAGAGTTCAGTGGGTGGAGGGGAATGTGACTAGTGCTGGGAGACACAGTACAGACAGCAGAAAGGACCTGACCGTTGAAAGCTGCATGTCTGTATGAAGACACACACACCACACACTCACACACACACACACTCACACACTCACACACACACTCACACACACACACACACTCACACACCATACACACACACATACACCATACACACACACACTCACACCATACACACACACCACACACTCACACACACACCATACACACACACCACATACACACACACACACACTCTCACACACACACTCACACATACACTCACACACCATACACACACACCACACACTCACACACACACACCATACACACACACCACACACACACACATCATACACACACACATCATACACACACACACTCACACACCACACACACACCACACACTCACACACACTCACACACACACACACTCACACACCATACACACACACCACACACACACTCACACACCATACACACACCACACACACACACACACCACACACTCACACACACACTCACACACACTCACACACACACCATACACACACACCACACACTCACACACACACACACTCACACACACACACCATACACACACACCACACTCACACATACATACCATACACACACACACCACATACACAAACACACACACACCACACACTCACACACACCATACACACCACACACACACACAAACACACACACACCACACACTCACACATACCATACACATACACCACATACACACACAAACAATACACACACCACACACACACAAATAACACACACCACACACACCACATACACACACAAACAACACACACCACACACACCACATACACAAACACACACACACCACACACACACCACATACACACAAACAACACACACCACACACTCACACACACACACCATACACACACAAACACACACACACCATACACACACACCACACACACACACCATACACACACACCACACACCACACACACACACACCACACACCACATACACACACAAACAACACACACAACACACACACCACATACACACCACACACACATACACACACACACCACACACAAACACACACACCACACACCACATACACACACATACAGTAAAAGTGTCAGTATGCAAACAGATTAAAATTACAGAAAAGGAAAGACAGAAGGCAAACAAGTGCATGAAGAATCTTCTATGCCACTAGCCGTCAGGGATCTGCAAACATAAACCTCAGTGAGAGCTTTCTATACCCCTAGCAGAATGGCAAACATAAAGATAGTGACAACAGCAAGCAGTGAGCTATGTTATAATGTTGTGGGTGCAGTGGGTCACTCTGTAAAACACTACATGTTTTTTAAAAGGAGTAAGCATATAGCGGTCATGCATATGAGTCAGTAATGTACTCCTTGCCATTCATTCCAGAGAAATAAAAGCCTTATGCTCATACAAAAACTAGACATGAATGCTTACAGCTTCTACCCACAATACCCCCACCCCTACAACCAGAAATGACTCAGATGTCCAT